GCTTCCTCATATGAGTGATATAATCAGGGATCGTTTCTACAGATTGTGTTAATAAGTTAGAAGCTAACATTTAAAATGTGAAGAAGCATTTAATAATTTATTTTATGAATATATATTTTCACTTTCCATTTGGGGGGAGGGAGGTCAAGCATAAGTAAAACAGCTCTGAATTTATGTTAATCTATATTTTAAAGTGGAAATCATCTGTTATTTCACAAAATTATACAGCTTGTTTTTCTTTCTTTTCTTAAACTTTAAACCATTTCAAATGCTGAATAGAGAAAGGATTCTAAGGCCCAAAATGAAGAAGCCAATCTATTTAGGCATAATCCTGCACCCACATACAGACCCCCCACGTCAGTGAGGCTGCACAGGAGTACACTTGCATATTTCCATTTGCAAGAATGAGACTGAAACGAGCAAGTCTTTCCTGACCAGAGCAGAGGGTCAGACTTGACAATCGGCTGAGGTCCCTTCCAACCCTGAAAACCTACTAAGTCAAAATACAGTTTTCTAAAACATAAGATGTGTTTTCATACTGCACTAGAACAAAAAAATATTCCAGAACTTTCACAGTTGCCACAAAAGGAATGCTCACGTTCCCAGTGGCTTGAGAAATTCACCTTTAAGACTACAGCAAAAGTCTGCCAACAACACCACTATCAGACTCATCATCAGGTATTTAATAGAGCTTCCAGAATTATTTTTTTTAAAGAAAGATGGAATAGATTTGGGATCAAAGAAACAAGATTTAAGAAATGCAACACTATCTCTAGTTAGTTCTATGCACTTTTACCAAAAACTGCATTCTTGATATGAGGGGAACACAGGATCACTTGGTCTCCCCACTGTCTTATTGCATCTCTTCAAATAAAAATCTGCCAGCTACTACATGATATCAAATTCACCCAAGGAACCTTGTCCGCCTATGTCCTTAGACCAAAACCCAAACCCCAGCTACTACATGTGGAATTCTTGCCGGTGTTTGATGGTGTAACTAGCAAGTGGACTAGTGTTACTCATTTGGAATTCAGTAGCAGAAAAAAGAATAGCAATATGACAGCTTTTCTAATGAAAGAAAAAATGGGAATGGTTTACTTCTGCAAAGTCATCCATCTAGGCAGACCCTGATGACTACAAGAAGCCCCCATGCCAATGATCTGCTAATGCAGGTCAGCTTTCAGGACTGGGGCCCAAATTAGCAGAGCTGGAATAAAGCTGATATCTATTCCGTTGATGAGATTGCTGCAGATAGACATAGCTAGCATTCTTTCTCCTTACCTACTCCAGTGTGCGTGTTTCATATCCCACAAGCTTCTGCTTGATATTGGACACAGATTTGATGTTTTACCAGAAAGTATTTGTTTTCTTTCTTCATTCTACCATTCACTGCAGTTCAACTTAAAAATGTATAAACCAACTTTACTATCAAAGATAAATTAGTTTTAATTAAGATTAAGTGAGTCATTTTAACTCCTTAAATACTGCAGAGATGCATGTGCCAAGAGATTAACTACTATTATTTCCTTTTAACTTCTTCTTTGCCTCAAAACACATCTAAAGCACATGCTTAAGTCCATATTGTGCTGCTGAGGTTTAAATTTCTCAAAACCTGGAGACACTCTAACATGATGAAATTATACAGCCAAAGTGAAGAGAACAGCCAGCCTGCATTGCCCTAGCTATCCCAGAGTCTTAGAACATGGTGTTAGCCAACACCTATCAGAGCACCTTTAAGTCAACACAAAAACGCATTCAAGTGTTGCAGGGATAAGCTACACAGCTGGCCAAGCTGGGCCTGAAGGGACTAGGAACTGGAGCAGAAGGTAAAGGGAGGAGGAGGCAACTTCGGGGAGAACACACATTTGATGTATTTGAGACATTACCAAGGTCCAAAAAGTAGCTAGCAATGGGGGAGCATTTTCCTAAGTAAGGCTTTCTAAGGATTCTTACATGACTTGATGCCATCCAACATTTTCATTGATGTTACAGAAAATGTGCATTTATATAAATGTGCACTTTATAATCACATTTATAAGTGATTTTATAAATGATATAAAATCAATGCTAATAAAATTTGTGAGGAGCACAAATATTGTTAGAATGGAAAATGATAAGGATATGGCAGATATACACAGTAATCTTGATCATTTGATCAGCTGGGTGCATTCAAACAAAATTCATTGCAATACATCTTGTTACACATCCGGGAACAAAGAATGCAGGCCACACCTACAGCATGAGAGACTACATAATGTAAAACAATGGATTTATGGGTCATAGTAGGCAAGCTATTGAACATGAGTATCACATGTCCTTTTTCCAACATCACTATAAATTTAACAATCTAATAAATCGAAGGCAATAGAGTAGAAGGTGGGAAGTGATTTTATCTTTGCACATGGTACTGCTAAGACAATACAGTATTCCTGTATTTTATTTCCCTGAATGTGACATCAAAACTATAGCACTTTTTTTAAACACAGTAAAAGTAGTTAACCACCAGGGAAAACTACCAAGAGAAGTACTGGATTCTCCATTTCTTGATGTATTTAAATGAAGACTAAATATTTTGCTCCTTTAGACATACAAATTATTTGGCTCAATACAGGCATTCTGAGTAAAAAGTTAGGGGTCCGTGATACATAGGAGGTCAGACTAGATCAGCAGTTTTCAGCCTTTTCACTGACTCAAGGTACCCCTTGGAAAATGCCAGCTCCTAGTTTTCACTGGGTTTTCTGGCTACAGAAAAAAAGATAACAATTCTGCTGCAAATAAATCAGAAAGACCACAACAGGACAGAATGATTGGGGGAAGGGGGGGGGGGGTGTTAACACTGGGAGTTTCTATTTGAAATCGCTAAGTTTACCTTGCAAATCATGTATAGGTTTTTGCACACCTAACAGGGCTAATAAAACATAGCTCTCCACAGCACCCTTAAAAAGATCACATGGCACCCCAATCCATCATAGCACCCTCACTAAGATTCACTGGACTAGATTATCCAACCACCTCTTCACATAAAAAGACAGAAAACAGAAAGAAAAAAGAAAATCAAGGAATTTGTTTTGGAACTCCTCAGACTCAACTTCTGTTCCACTTCAAACAATACAGATTCATCCATTTAGAAGAATGATTCTTAACCAGGGTGCCTGGGAACCCAGGGCTGACAACACAAGATCCTCTGAAGGGTATCATGACTTGTGAAGAGATATGCAAGGCATGAAGAAATAAGCATTCCCCACACCCCCAATGCCCAGACTCTCTGCAAGGAGGTAAGTATTGTACTAAACATGTTATTTCTTTTTAATCAGTTGCTGCTCCACTCACAAAAGTTATGAGGGGTGCATTGAGTCTAATGGTTGATTTAGAAGCTATCAAACAGTATAGCTTTGCTGGTCAGTGGCAGGGATATCTAGAGCAAAACTTGTTTTTTTTACCTCTGCATTTCATTTCTTTCAAATTTCAGCATATGTTGCAGATTAACACGATTACTTTTCCCCTCTTCATGGCTTACCAAAAATAACACACAAATACAAAATGCAGAACAGCAGCTGTTTTATGACTTATTAGAAGTACAGTGCAAGGAAGTAAATTCCACTTTGAATACCATTCTATATTTTAAGCTCTAAACTCTTCCTACTCAGACAGTAATTGGCTACATTATTTTTGGTGGATGAACTAATAACATTCTTAACGTAATTAGCCTTAAGACCCCCTCCCCCCCAACTGACTCCCAGGTTCTGCTACTGTATTTCCACCTCCATTCTTTTTATTATAATTTGACCTAAAAGTGACCTATTTATAAAGAAATCTACTTCACAACTTGCATTTCATGTTTCTGTGCTCCAAAAGTTAAGCTTTGAGAAAAAATAAATATGGACACACAATGCCACTTTTAACCACATCAGTTTCACAAAGCCACAATATCAAAATGCAAGAGTAAAGATACTTGGAGAAAATTTTCTCCAACTTTCATAAACACCTGAAAAAATATACTAAATGCATTCATTTCATAACAAAGGAAATACATGGTTTCAAAATTTACACACTAGTAATCTGCCTCAATAATTACACAAATGGATCCAACTGCCTTACACTGTTGTAAGCTGACAATATATACGATTTTTTTTTTGTCAGGCAGACACTGGTCTTAATTTTGCATTAAATATCTTTTCTTCAAGATCACATTAAAAGCTTCATTTTTACTACCTCTACCCATCCAGACCCCAAAAGCCTGTACTAACAGGCTGAAAGTGTGAAAAAAAATTCAGTCAGGGTTAAGTATTAACCTGATGAATTTTTCAGATCTGCTGTACTATTTTTAACTGCTCTTTCTGGCCATAGGTCAAAGTTTTCCTAACAAAATACCAAAGTGAAAATGCTGGGAGTGAAGCCCAGAGACAGCTCTCTTTGCTTTGGCCAAAGCTAGACCCCACCAGAGCCCAGAGCGCCCTTTAGCACCCTTTCCCACTCCCTCCGCCAAGCATCTTGGGCATCAGTAAACCTCAGTGCCCATGACAGGAATGGCATAATGCTCAAACCATGACAGGAACTTCATGCCAGCTACAGGAGATCCCTGTAACCCCCACCCCAGCACGATTCAGTCAGTTCCTGTACTTCGGCCAAATGGGACTGAGTCATTTTTGTAACGACTCCGATGGCCTCTCAGGGTAACAAACAGTTTGAAACCCAGAGCAAAAAAAATCCCAATGCTCCCCTGGGGCGGCAGAGCCACTCTGAACCCCAGCAGCGTCCCCAACAGAGAAGGCTCCCCCAAACTCGCCTGACACATCCCCCAGTGGCCTGCCAAAGGGGGGTTGCGGTCCTTCCCGGATCCCATGATTCACCAGGCGCATCCAAAGGCCTGACAGAGAAACCTCCCAGCTCAAGGAAAGCGATGTGACACTCTTCTCCAAGCCGGGACATCTTCCCTCCTTCCTCCCATTTCCCACAGAGGAAAACCCTCACTCGACCCACCCACACAGGAACAAACCTACCCCCGCCAGCGTCCCCGAGGCACGTGCCGTTTCTCCATCCCGCGCAGCACGTCCCCACCTGGGCAAGGGACCAGCCGGGCTTCACCCCCCGGCTTGCCCGGAGGCGCCCGCAGGATGGAGGGAAAGGAGAAGGGGAGGCGGCAGGAAGGATTTGTTTCCTAGTCCTCGACTAAGCTCCAAGTCAACCCCTGATCCCAGCAGGAGCCAAGGATAAAGCCCAGAGCCACGGGACGCTGCCAAGCAGCAGCAGCAGCTGCTCTGCCCCAAATCCAGCTGCAGGCGCTTCCCCGAGGCAGCCAGGCCCCGACCACAACGATGGCTCCCAGCCCCCC